TCTTTCAAGCTTCGTCTTCCCCCTCCCCTCAAACCCCCGGGGGGTTGAGCCTCCGCCCAGCTCCTTCGCCTTCTTATTGGCCTGCGGCACTGCCATTCGTTCATTTCTCCTTCCTATTGGGTGGTACCGTGGTCCGTCTCGGTGGGCGGGCTTGTGTTGACTTTTGTGTTGTATTTATTGGGGAAGATGGGGTGTCAATCACCAGGGTGAGCGCTTGGGATTGGATTGCTGCCGAGACTCCCGGGGTCCCAGCCAAACATTGCTCCCGAAATGGATTGTGGGTTCGTAGTCTGCGTCTGGCTGTGTTTCTCTCCGAGACTGCACGTCGGAGGAACGGGTTGGACTACGTATCCCAGCAGTGCGTGCACGGTGCAGTCTTGATAGTAAACAAGAGTCATAGGGACACGTGTATCAGCTCGTTTGTTTTGGTGTCTGGGACAAAAAGGAGGGGGCGGAGGAAGGGAGTGTTTTAAAGCTTTGGCCTCTTCTCTTCCTTTGGGCCTGTGCTTGCACTCGGAGCAGCCTCAAGCCTCTCGCAGCACCCATTCCGGGCCATAAACAGCCAGAGTTGCTTGTGGCTCAGATTTTGGCAAGAGGCCAAGGTATTGTTTTAGTGCGAGGGGAAGGAGATGACTGCACAAGCGGAAGCACTGCTGCCTCGAGGGGGACCCAGTCACCCAGAAATCACGGCCCCAGGCATGATAGGGATAATAAAGGTGGTGCTGGGGTCCAGTGGGAAAACTTAACATTCCTTTATCCTGAGCCTGGCTTCGCCCCTCCCTGGACAGCAGCTTGAAATTTCTCTGCCGACTCTGTTCAGTTCACCCGAGATTTTTTGAATGCCGGCTGCGTGCCAGGCACCGAGACGCTTGGGGATGAACAATGAGAGAAGCTCGAAGGTCTGGGCAATTTACAAAACTGTGAAGCGGGAGGTGGGGTCATACTGTTGACTTTGGAATTGAGGAAAGGCAAAAAGATGTTTTCTATATTGACCAGCTTACTCGTTGTTTAAGGTAATACGGAGGGGTATAATGTGTGACGTAAACTGATGTAATTTGTGAATCGTTATCAGGGTTTCTCTGGTGAGTTTCTGTTTAACCATTTTTCCTCTTCCAGAGGTCTTCCCATTGATGAAAGAATGTCTTCCTACTTAGTTTCCACTAGGAGTTCCTCCTTAAGTTACGAATTCTCTGACTCGAGGGAGGAGGATGGCTCTTCTGGCTTTATAGTTACCTTCATTTTAAACAAGGCTGTCCAGTTCCTAATCTATAATTGATGTTTTTACCATTCTCATTACAAAGGCATTATTACGCTTTTTCCCCTTTGAACTTTTAGTGTTTAGTCATTTAAGCTATGTTTTAGGTTTTATATCTTTAGATCACTATATGTATGTTTAAGAGGAGGAAAACATACTAGAGAGAAATCTATAAAGTCAAACTTTTGGAAAGGAGCCTTAAATCCTTGCTGGTGATTCCTTTAAAAATCCCTACTTTTCTTGAATTTTAAAATCTGAAAACCACGGAACAAATACGGAAATCCAAAGTAACTTTCTGGTACTGAACCAAGTTTTCAAATTCTTTTAAGGATTCCCTGTTTGAATCCTTAAAGGGAATTATTTATAGAATAGTCCTCCCTACCATGTGATCAAAGATGCACATTCTCTATTCACAAATAGTAATCAAATTATTCTTTTGTTTCTTAAAAATAATCCAGAGGGCCGATAAAATGCCTGAATTTTTCCCCGAGTAAAAAGGACAATATTTGTATTTATCTTAGTTCAGAGATTAATGGAGTGACCCCAAGACTCAACTGTGGCCCTGCTCTTTTGTGTATTTTTATTTTCTTTCTTCACTTTTTTTTTATAGTGGAGGTTCATTGTGCCTCAGATTGAAAAATTGAAAATATGAACTCTCCAGTGTTTAATTTCCTGACAAAAAGAAAAATTCGTGGAATTCACTTGATCATTGAAAACTAAAATCTGAGCTATTATGACTAGCTCCCTCCAGGAAACTAAAAACCTTTCCTATCACCCAAAAAATGAACTCTCAAGTGCTGGTACCACACCTTCCCCCCTGCCCTAGCCCCCCAGCACACACACACTACATGAACCATGAGATCTGGTTTTGGCTGAACCTTAACTTATTTTAAAAGGTTTTCTATTTCAAAGCATTTACTAAAAGCCTTAGTGGAGACTTTTTTTTTTGTCAACACAGTGGTAGGAAGAATAGCACCTTCAGATCAAGCTATGGTACATTATTAGAAATGATTATCTTTTATTAGCACTATAAAGGTTTTCCTATCCATTCATTCAGAAATACCTATTTAGTTCCTACTATTGGTTGACCACTGTGCTAATTCATATGGATACAAAGATATAAAATATTTTCACATACTCTCATTTTTGTCCATGTCATTAAAAAGAAGAGTAAAATTCTCTTGAGTTAGTTCAGTCATAACTGATTAAATGTCAGTGTTAGAATCTCTGTACCTTTAAGTGGACAATTAGTCCATCTTTGGACTCTCCTGGGAAGCTAAATGCTTACCTTGTGCACCTTATGTATATTTAACAGGAACCTCACTATTCATTTTTGGGTGACTAAGAATACCAGCCAACTTAGCCAGAACAAAGATCAAAGTACAAAACCAGTAAGATCTCAGAATTCTTTACATATATAAATTCTACTTCACTGAAATATATATAATTTTTGTACCAATTCCTTATTATTTGTATATGATAAAATATAAAATGACATTTATATTTTATATAATATAAAATATTTTGGCTGATAAAGAATCTGCTTGCCAATGCAGGGGACACAGGAGACATAGGTTCCATCCCTGGGTCAGGAAGCCCCCCTGGAGAAGAAAATGACAAACTACTCCAATATTCTTGCCTGGGAAATCTCATGGTCACAAGAGCCTGATGGGCTCCAGTTCATAGGTTAGCAGAATTGGACACGACTGAACCTGTAAGGGATTTTTATATTTACTAAAGAACATTTGTTCATAACATACTTCCATGATAAAACTGACATTAAAAAATCAATTTGGGGACTTCTCTGGCAGTCCACTGGTTAGGACTCAAAGCTCTCACTGCCAAGGGTGTGGGTTCAGTTCCTGGTCAGGGAATGAAAATCCTACAAGCTGTAACCAAAAGAAAGTTCAAAAATAAAATTTTCTTTAAATATACTTTTAGTCAGTGCAAATACCATATACACACATACATATTCCACATACACTGTGCCCAAATAAGTCAAGAGTTGTCATCCAAAATAAAAATGTCTTCAGCAATTTGTAAAATACTTCTGTTTTCATAAGGAAACATCCAATTCTATTTTGTTTTTTAAAAACTTGATAAAGCTTATTTAGGGGTGAAATTACTGTATTCCAACACAGTTGGCATACCAATGACTACTGGGCTAAGAAACATAGAAGTTAAAGTACATGGCATTGCTTAAATATGTAAAATATTGCTGTTCAAAATGTTAGAAGGTAAGCAAGCAAATGAAGTACTCAAATTAGGAAATGGAACACAAATTTCGACACATTTTTTCTCATGTCTATTTGGTGTGCTAGGCCTTTCTCTCTGTATTTTCTTTTAGTTACCAGTCCAAGGTAGCTAATTTTAGATAAAAAGCCATTAAGATCACAGGAGTAATATGTACTTAAATGTGTGGCGTGTGCTCAGTCGCTCAGTCTGATTCTTTGCGGCCCCATGAACTGTAGCCCACCAGGCTCCTCTGTCTGTAGGATTTCCAGGCAAGAATACTGGAATGGGGTGCCACTTCCTCTCCTCCAAGGGATCTTCCTGACCCATAGATTGAACCCGTGTCTCTTTTGTCTCCTGCATTGACAGGCAGATTCTTTACTACTAAACTGAGCCACCTAGCAAGCCATTTAAATGTGCTACACTGAACCTTTTTTTCTTACATTTACCTCCCTCCAAATTCACATTATTTCTTCCTTCTATATTTCTATGCATCTTTTTGTCTGGTCCATATCATACACATCGTTTTGCCCAGGCAGTCAATATTATAACCTGCTGAACAGATGAATAAAAGGAAATGAGATAAATTTTCTTATTAATATATATGCTATTTTGTATGTCATAAGTTGTTTTGAACACTGACCTCATTAAATATAGTTTCTGTATGCTTTGTGTCACTTGCTGTGTCTACTCATCACCATTTTTTTGAGAACAGGTATCATCTTACTCTCATAAGAACTATCTTGTAACTTTTGATTCCCTTATGTACCAGTCACAAAGGCAGGCAATATTTGTCTAATTAATACACTCCAGTTCCTTCAAATTACATAGCATATCATAATGTGCACTATAGTAAAAAAGTGGAGGATATTTCGGTTCAGCTTTGAAAAGCAATTAAGAAAAGACTTGCCAAAGATGTCTATAGTGAGCACCTCTCCTAATTATTTGGCTTTTAAAAATGTCATTTGTATACATTTCAAGAATACAGTCATTTTGTAATGAGAGATTCACTTGTATTAAATGCCAGCCTTCCACCTAAAAGCGGTAGTGCAGTTCCAGGGATCCAGGACTCACTCTCTTGTTCCTCAGCAGGACTGTGATTGTGGTGAGGTTTAGGGCAGAGATGGAAAATCAGCAGTTAGAAGCAACTTTATCCAAGGTTGTGCCTGAGCATATTTACTGCTCATGAACTCATTCAAAGGTTCTACTTGGTAAGCTTTTATCATGTGAAATATAAGACAATGAGGGTTCCATTTCTGGGTGGTTACAGTCAAAAGTGAAGGCAGCTTTTGTCATTTCAGAGTCCGTTTCCAACTCATTGAGCTTCCCTGGTGGCTGAGTAGGTAAAGAGTCCACTTGCAATGCTGGAGACCCTAGTTTGATCCTGGGTCAGGAAGATGATCCAGAGAAGGAAATGGCAACCCATTCCAGTTTTCTTGCTTGAGAAATCTCATGGACAGAGGAGCCTGGCGGGCTACAGTCTATGGAGTCACAAGAGTCAGACAAGACTTAACAACTAAACCACCCTAAGCCCCTGGTGCCCGGGGAATAAAACCATTTTTTTCCAGTTTTTCCCAAAGGCAAGTGCCTGATGCACAGTGAGACCAAAGGGGCTGGGAGCAGAGAAAGGTTTAGATTTACTGCAGGCCAAGCAAGGAGAATGGGCACCTCATGTTCCAAGAACCCCAAACTCCCTGGTGGGGTTCAGGGAAGAGTCTCTAAGGGCAAGATTTGGGGTGAGGACACAGGGTGTGTGACTTTCCACTGATTTGCGGGCAGTGAGGTGACAGCAATCTTGGGTTCAGCCTGAAGTTACCATCCTCCCCCTGCGCGGGAGCCTTAGTTCCTGCAGAAGAACTCAGAGATGTATCAGATGGTTATGAATGTATCTCTTCAAGGAAAACCACAATCCTGCCCTTCCTCTGCACTGTTATTTCTTCACTGCTTTTCCTTTCTTTTCCCTAATGAGTAACTTTGAATCTGCCCTCTGAAAATCAGGAAAGATCTAGGAAGCTGAAGCTTTTTCCTACAAACAAGAAACAGGACACGAAAGGTTTCTGTACCCCACAGGTCCTGCTTAGTTTCACAACTGAGAGTGATAAATGCATCTACTTTAAAGTCCTTTATAATTGGTCCTAACAAAACATTTCATGTATTTACATGTTGCAGTGGCTTGAGTTTTTCAGGAAGATGGCAAGACCCAAGCTGTGGTTAAATCAAAATGTGGGAACACCACCTAAGAAATGACACTTCATTTTTATGGCAGAGACAGTTACCTCCGTAAGGTCCACCATCACATCTTTCCATATATAAACATTACCTTTCCAGGGTTTCCTTAGCAACTTTAAATTTACAAACAAAGCATAAAAAGGGACAGAAAGACCCAGATCTGTTGGTCAAAAAAAGTCTTCCTTGGAAACTCTGTACACATTTGTCTATATACCAGGCTCAATTGCATCATTATTCAGAGAATACGAGTGTGGACAAAAGTAAACATTTCAGTAAACAAAATGTTGCCTGCCCTCAAGCCAGCAGCCATTGCAGTCACCCCTGCACCCTGAGAGGAATTCAGGATGGAAAAAAAACCGGGATACTGGCCCTAGATGGTTAACATGCATATCAAAGCAGTAATTGCAATGAGCCAAGACTCCTGTAAACCCCCACACATAGAAAACCACTAAAATCTTTTAACTTGAAATATCTATTTTTGTGTGTGATTAGCAATCATCTTTTGATATCTGACTACATTTTTTGGGGGTCTTTTTCAGCAAAAACTCCTGTGTATCCTGTCTCCTCCCTTACCTCTTTGGAACAGCCCCTCAGGGTTATCTGAAAGGCTGTTTCCCCAGGCTATAGTCCTCAGTTAAAGTCTCTAAATATAAATCTCTCTCTCAACTTTTAGGCTCTTTTGGGCTTTTGTTTGTTTGTTTTTGTTTTTTTCCCCAGTTGAAGTATGAAGCCAAGAATTGCAAGGGGGAAGCAAGAGAATCACGATTGCCCATGAGTTCTGCCATGGATGCACAAAGTAAATGATTTTGGTGGAGTCATGGATTTTTCTCTTACACAAATGAAACTGATTTAACTTCTTGTAGTGACTAATGGGCACGTCTTCCACAAACACCTGGTTTACCTTACTGCTTTCATTTCCGTAATTCATTTTACTTTCAAGGTTTTGTTGTTTTTTTTTTTAAATACCCGTAAAGACTATTTACTAACAACTGTTTAGTTTCAGTTGCTCAACCAGTTTTGCTGCCTTGAAAAGTATCCTGGAGCAGGTAAGAGTTTGTCTCAACTCTTGCTCCAATTTCTTATCAGAATTCATTCTTTCTGATACTCAACATGAGGCTGTACCTCACACATTTATTTTAGAAGCCAGCATTCCTTATTATTCTATTTTTCCCTTATGTATTTTCTGCCACATGTGTTAGTAATTCTGTTTCTCCCTTAGTTATTAACATTTTATTTAGATTTGAGACTCTCTTTTCCAGCTGTTTAAGCTGGATAGTACAGCTCATCCAGATGTGTTACTTAGCACTCTAGGCTTATACATTATTAATGTTCTTTAAGAATGCCAAAGCCCATCTAGTCCTTGTTGGAAATGTAACATTTCTTGAAAAAAAATTAGGAAAAATTTTATTCATATTTTAAAGATGTTTTAGAAAGAAAAAGGACTCAGCACTTAATCCTACATATTCCAATAAAATCGGAAGTTCCTTGCTTCATGCTGTATGTTTCACTTGCAGAATTTTAAAGCATTTTAGAGTCTGCTAGCCAGATTTGTAAGAATAAACCAAACACATTCACACAGCATGTGTCCCAGGTAGTGTTTTATGTTTATACGCACCAAGCCCTAGTTTGTATCAACAGGACACACACATATAAAACAAAGAAAAGCACCTTTGTATTAAAATTGAGAGTCCTCCCAGAATTCTTAGTCATACATGATGCATGCTTGAATGAAACATCAACAGAGAATTTCCAAACAGAAAGACTCTTGGTTAGTGATTAAACAGTGGCATCCACAACTCAAACTTGTGGTGTTTTAATTACTTTAACACATACATTCCCTAGTTATCCAAACTTACTTGGTTATTCTAAATGGCTGAATGAGTCTGCAACATATCACAACTATCTATATCACATATAACCAATAGTTAAGATTTTTTAAAAACTCTTGTACTACAGAACCACACTTTCTTGCTGCAAGATGCCCAGATCTTACCTTTCTTTTCACATATGCAGTACCTCTCTCATGCATTTCACATAGTATAATGTGCACTATGGAAGTCACAGTAAAGAAACAAGGAAAAAAAAAAACCTCAATAATAACATTTTATTATAAAACTGTGCTTTATTATAAGGAAATTTTAAATATAACCAACAATACTGAAAATAATGTAACTGGCATTTACAGCCTTGGTCAGAGTTCTTTATTAAACAGGCATTTGTAGTTAACAATTAGCGTATGCAACAAAATAGGTAACTTGAAAAAGTGAAGGAGGTTGAAAATACAGAATGATGAACCAGGAATTTGGGGTTCTTTGTGTTTTTTCTTGTTGAGTAGACATGACTTTTAAAATCTGAAATATTATAGAAAACAAGTCTGCACGCAGTAAGCTCTCTTCCCGTGGGAAAGTTTGCAAAGTGGTTAAAACTGTCCTAAGATGTGGCTGAAGGTACACTTTACATATTTCTTATATATACATTATCCAGTTCACGTATCTTAACCACATTTTCATTATACAAGCAAGACCAGAAACATTCTCTAATAAGACCACACTAGCCACATAATTTTTTTACCCATGTATATATTTCTTTGAAACATATTTCCCAAAATGAAATCACTGATTTATAAGAGAACAACTGGTTAGAATTAATGTCTCTAGACACTGGGGTCACGTAGTCCTAGAACTCATGTGAGAGTATACTGCTTTGGTGGAATGTAATTAATTCATTTTATGTAGCAGGATAATAAGCATTATCAAGTATCAACAAAAATCTGTTCAGCTGAGTTCATTCTGCACTTGCAGAATGAAATGAATGCAGTTGAGAGTCTGCATTAAAGCAAGTGGCAAGGCCTAATGGTATACTTGGAATGGGCAGAAGTTCCTTTTATCCTTATATATGTTTTACTTACAAGAATTTATTTCTCCCACTTTGGAGGAAACCCATGGGAGCAGATGTCTGCAAGGATTTTATTACACATGTCTAGTGAAGAACAAAGAAATATCTATGGGCATGTTGACAAGGACCCCAAATATTTTTGGTATAGGAGACTTTTTTTTTTTAGCATATATAATAAGATCTTAGGCTTTTAAAAGACAACAATTAAGTTTAAAGAGCATTTAAAAATATTTGTGACATTAAATGTCAAACAAATTTTTAAAGATAACAAATACAGAGAACTGCAAAAATGAAAAAGGAAGCATAGATAGATGCTTTATGAGGAAAATAATGACCCTTCTTCTAAAGACGCTTTCCTGTTGTTGTAATGACTAAACTGCCTGTCCTTAAAACCACTGGAATATGTAGGTTACTGACATTATACCCAAGAAGTCAAAAGGTACTTTATTGCAAAAATATAAAAGGTTTTAAAATTGCATATGATGTTTTATACCATTTCACCAATAGGCCAAGGCCAACACATAACTTATCAAGCCAGAAAAACTTTAAAACAAAAATGGTTAAATTGTACTTACTATATATAGTGAGTTGTAAAAAGAATGTGATGCCATGCTGTAGAGCATGATTCACTGCCGAGTTCCCTTTTACACGGGTGTAGTCATAACACATCAATCTGAGTAAGTCAAAATGAATACACATCGCCTATGATAACATCCTTTAATTATCTTCTTAAACACAGATACTTTCAATATATTACAATCATCTGAATAAATCTTTCAGTCAAATCATAATTTTGTGGAGTAGAAAGTCATTTTATCAGTATGTTGATATTTTTTTATCTACTCTTTTTAGAAAGTGATGTTAAAGCCTATTGACTATTAAATATCTATTCTGTTTACTGATACATTGTAAATGTAAAAAAAGGAAAAAACCTGAAATCACAGAAAATGCTTGGCATCTACACAAACACATTCTCAGTGGACTAACCACTACTGTGTAATTTTGTCACTAGAGGTCTTCTTGCTCCAATACTTTTTGCTTCATGCAGTGGGTTCAACAATATCCATGTTTGTTCCAAACAGGGCAACTAACTGCTCTTCATAGGTAGCGATGTTCCTTTTCATAATTTCCATGCAAGGTCCCAAAAGCCTTTCAAATGCTTGCACGTCCATGGCTAAGAAGAGGGGAGAATAAAAGAAAAATAACATTCTTTACAAATCTGGAATTTCTAAGTCACTTATGGTACCTATTTCACATACGTCAATGATGCAATGGCATTTCTGCATAAATATCAGATACAAGAAAAAGGCATAAAGATAAAAACATTCCACTTCAAAAAGGAAGCAGCCAGTGGCCCATGGCCATATGACGTTGTATTGGAAGTTCCTGATCCAGGTTAAAAGAATGAGGGATTGTTATGGCAAGACCTTGGAATTTTTAAAAATAAATTCGTTTTTATGTCACCACTTCAGCAGTATGAACTCAAGGGCGGCAAGGTAGTGTTTTCTATCTTGTTTTCCCTCCTCAGGGTTTACAATGCAATGCTGTGAAGACCAAATGTTGCCTTTTATAATTTTTTACTCTTTTATACTAGGGTCTAATCAATTCAAAATGGCAGCCCAAGTAATGATTTTGTCCGCTTCTGTAAGTATGTGCTCTATGTTGCTTAGATTGCTTGTCTTGAGCATTTTTAAAAACAATGTATATGAAAATATGATCATACTATCATTGAAATACAAATTAAAATTCTTTTTTTTTTGCTTCTTAGATTTATAGAGCTAAAAAAGGCAGTGTTTACAATAGAGTGAATGGTCATTCTTGCACTGCTGGCAACATGTAAATAAGTGCAAATACAAGTGATCTGGCAATAGATATCAAAAACCATAAAAAGAAAACCCACTTCCAAAAAGCATTTCTCAGGAAAAATCCTATTAAGTGAAAAAGTAGTATATGCATACACCCCCACAGAAAAGCTCTCCCCCACCCCGCAAAATGGAGCCAAAACTCAAAAATTATGTAACAGTGGGAAGTGATTAAATAATTCAGTGTGTATTTAACCAATGTTACAATTTGATGTAATAAACATGAGAAAATGCCTAAGTTATAATGAATAAAAGAAGCAGTTTACAAAACTGATCTAAAAGTGAAAACCCATACAAATAAAAAAGGATGATAAGGAATTATAATAGGATGTGGAAATTGCTGCGTGGTGGTGGTACTGGGTGACTCTTAGTTTTTCCTACCTTTCTGTATTTCTCAAATTTCATGTGAATATATATTTTATTATAGGAAAAAAGTAATGGGATTTCACTCACAGCATCTTTACTCCCTACTGTGTAACACCTCTACTCAGGGACATTATCTGTCAGCTTCTAAATTTTTCTTTGTCATCCAAGTGTGACACTAGAGTGTTATCATACTTGTTTAAAACCATTTAAAAAACAACTTCTCTAAGAAAATTCTGGGGATACTTACAAATGTTAACACTGAAGCTAAACTTATTCTACTGAACTGTGGATGAAGAGTACAGAGAAGCTAATTACTTTTTAAACTTAGTTTTTATTGGTGATAGTTGATTTACAATGTTTACTACTTTCTGCTCCACAGCCAAGTGAATCAGTTTATATATATACATATATCCACTTTTTTAGATTCTTTTCCCATACAGGCCATTACACAGTATTGACTAGTTTTCTTAAAGAAAATGTCATCTGTATTAATATCTCCTGAGTTACAGTTTTCATTGCTAAAATAAGTTATTTCTCACATATAAAATCTCTGCTATATGTAGATGCCTTCCAGCTTAAGATGGCACTTCTGTTCATGGCATTTCTGTGTGGTACACAGAAGTAATAAACAGCCGAACAAGACTTCTATTGTGCCATGACAAACTTGGACTTTTGTTTCCTAATCCCAGGATGAGTAAGTATTCCTACAGACATCCCAATTTCCCCTGCAGAGCTTAGTATACCTTATAAAAGTGCTGTTTGAGGGTTTTTTTTTTTTTAGCAGAAATGGAACACAGTGCATGTTGTTCATTTGAAAAATTAGATGTAAAGCTTGGTACTCAGAATTCTTAACAACATCCTAAAATGTTATTTCATGCCTATAAAAAAGAACAATATATATGTGTGTGAAAATCTTCTAAGAAGTTGGCTTCTACAAATTGACTTTATAGTACAATGAATCCTAATCTTCTACTTTGTTGGGACCGTAAAACCTGTGAACCCAGTAAAATAATCAGTGTGACGCTGAATACGTACAATGCACACAGAAGGATTTCAACTGGGGCAAGTGTGCCCTGGGCCGCGAGTCCTACCTAAACATTTGACGGTCCCGATGGCGTGTGCCGACGCGGCTCGGGGCTTGTTCGTTACCAGAGCCAGTTCGCCGAAGTACTGCCCTCGAGAGCACCGGGCGATTTCAACTGCACCGTCCTCCTCCACCTCTGACTTGCCCTGGCAAGGTGATGGAAAGGGTTAGCTTTCACTCAGCTTAAGGAAAACAGAAGTGAAGCTTAGTCAGGAGAAAAAAAAAGTCTATTATGTTACGTGCTAATATTTCATGGATTTTTAGGACTTACCTTCCTTTTCATGGTAATTTTCACTTCTCCAGATTCTACAATGAAAAAAGAATCAGCCAACTCTCCCTGTCAGAACAAAAACAGAGGGTGAAAAATGCAACTTTAGTTGACAGCAATCCTGCTGCCCACCATACCTCGGAAATCAATCCCATGCCAGTTTATAGATCATCTCCTGAAAGGTGAAACTCCACAGAACAGGTTATGGCCCCTCCTAAGTTGAGATGTTATGATCAACAATTATAGTGTAACAATTTCATTTGTAAAATCATCTGAAATGATATACTATCTACTATAGCATTTCTGCTAAAACTCTCAAGAAAATATAGCAACTAACACCAAGGTATGAATTTCGCTCAAACTGCAGCCTGGATAAAGCACAGACACGGTCAGAAATGCGAGCACTGTTTCCCAGTAGCATCGCCTCTGTCAGCTGCTTCTATGCTGAGATGTGCCACGCGGGGTCGTTCCTAACCTACAAAGCCAGAGCGTGGCGACCCAAGATAACGCAGCAGCTCCGCAAGTGGAGAGAGCAGACAGACTAAGCAGTGTGTGTGGGCCCTGAGGCCTGTCCTGCAGGTGGCTGACAGCCCACCTCAAGGCCCGGAAAGACTTCTAAAAGAAAGCGTTGCCATTTCTAACTACATAGCTGCATTTTCTTGTTTCCTTTTTTGAACAAACTTCCTTGACTTCCAGTGATGCCTTATGAATTAAGTAATGTAATACGAAAGATGACATTGACTTTCCTAAGCCTCTCAAAGTGATTCTGGAGAAACTCAGGTATTTCAAAACTCTTTACTACAATTGAAGAAATACAGTATCAGATTAAAAAACATCATAAGGAATGCAGAGTCTCCATTATACTATAGTGCAGACATGTATGTTTATAAACGCTTGAAAGACAACTATCTAGATATACCTTTAATAAACTCAGTATACATGTCTTTTCCCTTACCTTTTTATCAGGCTTTCTATAAGAGCTTCATGCTAAATATTCAAGTGTCTTAAATCATAAAAGGTCTATCAACTACCATTAATTTCACTTTTAAAACATGCTCAAATTGCATGTAAAACTAATGAGTTAAGTTCCATTGTTTGTGTCAATGTCAGTTTGCTAGTTTTGATGTACTAGTGATACAAAATCCACTGGAAGATTGGGCCAAGAGCCCATGGGACTTTTTTTTTTTTTTTTGGCAGCATGCCAAAAATGAATCTATAATTATTTCAAAATAATTTGAAAAAGTCATTTTAAAAGTGCTCTATGCTTTGCAGTTTTTCAATTTGTATCATGGAATCTCAGCCTTGTTCTCTAATTTGACAGATTGGGGGTGGCAGTGGAGGAGGACTGACTGATTTACTTGTTTATCTGCCTTCTAAACTAATTCTTTTCTCAGCCTCACAGACCTTGAATCTTGTTTCACATGTATGAAAAGAGACAATATTTTAGATAAATATTACAACATAGTATAATACTGATAGGAAAATCACAGAACTTGTTAAAAACCTATTTTTTAAAGTCTTTATTGAATTTGTTACAAATTCAATTTGTTATATAAACTGCTTCTGGTTTTTTGTTTTTTTTTTTTAATGTTTTGGGTTTTTGGCCATGAGGCATGCGGGATCTTAGCTCCCCAACCAGGGATTGAACCCGCACCCCTAGCTTTGGAAGGTGAAGTCTTAACCACTGAACCACCAGGGAAGTCCCTAAAAAACCTGTTTAAATCATGCAGTCAATGCTTCAAACTGTAACTAGGAAATTAGTAGTATCATCGATATCCTTTTATCTGTAAACTTGAACCATCTCTATAAATCCTACTTCTGGGTAGGTTTGTTCTAACCAATATATGTGTGTATTGCTTCAGGTTCCAAGTGGGATTTGAGAAAAGCATTATGGGTTCAAGAGCATGCTGGCCCCCTCAGTGCCTGGCAGCCAGTGAAGTACATGGTGCAACGTGTCCCCTTCTTGGTTAATTTCACCAGGAGGTTTCACCAATGAACTGATTGTGCAGAACTTTACACCTTCCAATGCACCTTCTGGGTCCTTATTAATAAATGCTATGGAACGATTGCCAGTTTTTTTCCCTGTTATAAATGACATCTTAATTCTCTATATACATGTGACCTTCATGTCTGGTACAAATATAAAATTATGCCTAAATCCACTGGATGATTTAATATATATTCCTTAAGATTTAATTTAAAATAAAAACATTCAGATATCTTGATGGCTATAAATTAAGCCATTTTTAATAGATTTGGCAGGAAATAATTATATTAATCTATCACTACATACTAATTATGGACACATGAAAATTTTATTAAGACTTAGAATATATTAAGAATCTTTTGGAAAATAATCTCAAACTGAGCTCCATAAAAAGTATTATACCTGAGCAATGATTTGTTCTCCATCGTTGTATACTTTGGTGCCTATCACATCTACCACTTTCAGGCGTTCAGAAACCTATAAAGGAAAAAAAATACAGTTGACTCCTCAATGATATGGGTTTGAACTGTGCACAGTCCACTTATCTACAGATTTTTTCCAGTAAATATACATTTGCCCCTCCGTACCCACAAATGTGGAACCCAGGGCCATGGAGGGCCTGCTGTAAGGGACTTGAGCGTCTGCAGACTTTGGTATCCACCAAGGTCCTAGAACCAATCCCTGTGGAAATGGATGAACAACTGTATGAAACAAACTAATCAGGTAATCTTAACTATTCCATGGGTTTAAAAATAGTAGCCTGCAGGCCAAATACACTGAGCAATGTGTGTGTTTATGTGTGTGTTTATATTAATAAACCCTATTAATATAAAAAGCACAATCGCTCAGTGGTGTCCAACTCTTTGTGACTCCATGGACCTGAGGCTCTTCTGTCCATGGATTTTACCAGGCAAGAATACTGGAGTGGGTTGCCATTTCCTACTCCAGGGGGAATCTTCCCAACCCAGGGATCAAACCCATGTCTCCTGTATCTCCTGCATTTGTAGGCAGGTTCTTTACTCGCTGAGCTATCAGGGAAGCCCCATTATATGAATTACTTGCCAGCATTTTCAACAAATTTTTCATAAAAACTTGCATTTCCAGCTTCTCTTGAAAAATCAGAACTGCCAGCAACACTCAGCCCATATTTCCATGTGGCATAAATAAACTCTGGGGGACTAGCAGCTGTTTCTTAAGATGGAGCACATGCTCTCCAGTTTACCAAAGTCCCATCCTGGCTTGGTTTTCTTCTTTGTTACTTGCCTAGCTCTGAAGGCATTTGAATTTCCGACTCTGACCTATTTTTACTTAAAGAGAGCTGCTGCTGGAGAAGATGAGCTGCCCAATATGCATTCTGAAATGAGGCCCAAATTTCTACAAGGTGAATACTGACAAGCCAACACAGGGACATGTCAGCAGGTAGGTCTGTCAACCCCAGGGATTCTGGCCAAGAGGCTAGAAGGATGGTACTGCTCTCAGGCGGGGAAGAGAAGGAAGGATGCTTGGGACCTGTCGGTTTGAGATATCTTTTAGATATCCCAGAGGAAATGTTAAATATGCAGTCAGATAAACAAGCCTGGCATTCAAGGGTGGGGCCTTGCGCAGTGATGTCAATTTTAAGAGGCATCAACATAATAGACATCTAAAGCCAGGGGATTTGACAAGTACTGCACGGGAATAAGTGCAGCCTGCAAAAAGAGAGACCTTGGGATGCCAATTTTAAGAGGAAAGGAATACGGAAGCAGAGGCCAGGGAGGACATTCTGTGTTTAGATAACCTCTTCCTGTAAAGGCCACTGCCTACATTTATGTGATGAGTTTTAAGTCTGCTTTTAGAGAAAGACCTTACATAAATCTGCCGTAGCTGCTCCCAGGAGTCTGTTAGGTGTAAACAACAAAATAGATGCAGTTACAGACAGTAAAAGAAATATTAAGCTATTAAAACAATGTAATCTTTTCAAGTGAAAATATGGATAGATTATTATTCAAAGAAACCTTCTGCAGAGCTAAGTATTCCTAACAAAACAGAAGCTTTTAAAGCAAAATAAAAGCACAAACATACTTACTTCCAAAGATTTAAGGAATGGCAGTGACTCGATAAAGCTTTCATACATTTTTCTCTTTTTGGCATTATTTTTTACAATTATCCTCCTGAAGGTTACCCTGTCCTAAAGGCAGAATATCAAATATGAAGACAATTAAAAGGTAGACTTTATGGGGAAAAAAAGTTTGAAGAGACAGTTTCATTTTATTCCCTGTAAGAAACAAACAATAATTGAATATTTTCAAAATAAAAGATTATTATAGTACAACTCATTTCAGATTTTTATTTCCTTAAGCATTAATACAGAACCATATAAAATGTTATTTTCATGCTTTTGAAAGAAAGCAACAGTTTACTTTTAATTCAGAACAGGGATCTGACCAACATGTAACTAGCAGGCTAAACCCACGAGGTGGCGCTATTGCACCATTTAAAAAAATACAAGCTTCTTGTTTTATTTTTCTCCCCAGCTTTTTGAGATACAATTGACTTGTAATATTGTTTAAGGTTTACAACTTGTTCATTTGATATACTTATATATTGTAAAATTATTACCACAGTAGAGTTAACTGTCATTTCTTTTTTTGTGGTGACATTTAAGATTTATTCTCTTTGCAGCTTTCAAATATATATTGACAGTATTGTTAACTATAATCATCAGGTACACTGGGTCTTCAGAACATATTCATTTTATAACTACGCTCTCCAGCCCCTGGTGACCAACATTCCACTCAGTTTTTATGAGTTCAAACTAGCACTGAGTTCTTTTGTTATAGATAACAGCCCTGGAGTATTAAAATTCAGTGGGACGTGATGAGCTTTTTTTTTTTTTTTTTGAGGTATAACTGGCATACAACATCATACTAGTTTCAGGCATAGGACATAATGATTCAGTATTTGTATCTGTTGTGAAATGATCACTATAGTAAGTACTTAACATCTGTCACCATAAATAGTTACAGAATTCTTTTGTGATGAAAACTTTAAAGATCTACTCTCATAGCAACTTTCAACTATACAATACAGTATTATTAACTGTAGACACCATACTATACATTATGTCCCTAGGATATATTTTTAACTGGAAGTTTGTACCTTTTGACCCCCTTCACCCATGACTAGCCTTTTATTTAAAAAACAAAACAAAACAGAAAATATGGGTGTGCATCCCTTTTAGTAAAGTGTTGTTATATATTTGTTTCAGTTTTACACAAAAGCACACACACATATGCACTGGTTGTGACATTTCCTCATGTGTTTCTTGTGGGCTGTAGTAAAAAAACAAACATGGAAACCAGTAGTATTAGAAAATGTTTTTAAATCATGCAATTACAATGGAAAGAGAGCTTGAAAAATTATTGACTCTAGGGTTTTTTTGGTTTTTTGTCACATAACATATCAGTTTTCTTTTTTAAAACTGCACAGAGAGACTACAGCACTCTTGAGTAGACTTTGATTCCAGTGTTTATCATGTGCATTGTCCTCAAATGTTTCTATGTTTATACTACCTAACCTCAAGGATGCAACACTGAATTGAGGAATGAGGGAAAACTTTAAAGGTAATGGCTCAAAAAATGGTTTTCCTACAAATTTTAAATTTTAAAAATTCCTACAAAACATTATATATTAGTTCTCAGTTAAGAGTTCTCAGAATTATGTTAGTTTGGCATACACTGATCAACAACTATACTATTTTAATACAAAATAAAATTAACAGGGATATGTTCTTTAATTAATAGACTACTATCACAACATATTAAGGAATTTAAATGAACCGATAGGATAGACAGAAGTGCCAGTGTGGATGTAAATATCTAGGAAATTAAACATCTTGTTCTCTAGTTTACTACAATTTTATATAAGGGCTGTGATTTGGACTTGCACTCAATCATTTTTTTTTTTTTTTTAGAAAAAAAATTTTCAAGATAACAAGTAAAATTATTGAAATAATTTCCAAGCCTGGCTCTGCATTGGAATCAATTGTGTGTTCTTCAAAAAGGTATATAAGATCCCAGACTTTAATGACTCAAAATCTCTGCAAATAGGGCTCTATAATAATCTGCATTTCATGAAAGCTCCCCAAGTGACCCTGATATATAAACACGTCTGGGAAGCAACTACAATACCATTTTATGAACAAGGTTTATTACAAAACAGAGAAGAGAAGAAATAGGTTAGCAATTTAGAAATTAACCACGGCAACAAGCTATGTGTCTCAGGAAAAATCTTCTACTAGTGGCCCACCTCTTCATACTCACTGTGACATATCAATAAAATCCAGAAAGTCTCATTTGAAATGTTTTCACCCCAGTCATTTCAATCGTCACCTCTCTGAATCACCAGCATGGTCTTGTAGATCAGTTAATCCCCCAAGGCTAACAGTGACCTAGACTTATTTACAAAGTTGGACTATTCTACAAAGGACTTTTCTCTTGGGATTTGCTTATCTTTGCACCTGCACTTACGTGGCAGAGCTCCAACCTGTTGGTCTCAAAAGCAAAATTCCTTTTCTATTTGACTTTGTCTGAAAGGGGGCTAGTTAGGCCAGCTGCTAAGAAAGCAGATTTGA